CGGCGGCGGGGGCGGGCCTGCACCTGCCGCGGGGCCCTGCCCGTGAGCCCCGGCGGGCGCGGGCCGGGCAAAGGAGCCTGGGCTGAGATTCTTAGACCGTGTCGCCCACTCCCCTCTTTACTGTCCTGGGCATATTTATTTCGCCGTTCCCCTTGTCACCGCCGTGGCTGCGTGAGGTGGCTTCTCAGCCCTGCGAGGCCCGGCTGCTGCAGGGGCAGCGGGGTAGGGCCAGGGAGAAGCCCAGAAGGTCCACAGAGGCCCAGAGGCCTTTCCCCCCTCCTCAGCTCCCGCAGCATCTGCGAGGGAAGCTGCTCCAGGCGGTGTTTCCTGGGCCCGTGGCCCGTTGGTGGCTGCAGCTCCAGAGCCTTAGAGCAGATTTAGGGCCAGCAGAGCCCTCAGGGCCTGCTGCTCTGTCTCTTCTTGCACAATTTCAGCATCTGGAAGCAGCAGAGCTCTGTCAAGACTTGGGATCCTCCAGAAGGCACTTTTCCGTACAGGTAACAAGAACAAAGGCCTAGCCAGCACGCCCTGCAGTCCTGGTGTTCGTGTAACGTAAGGGAGCAAACAGATGAGTAATTAGGCAAATTGTAGAATGCAATAAGCAGTTTGCAGACTTGCATCCTCTACAAATAGGGTCTCTCACCAACACAAAAATCCCCATTTTCTCTTTGTGAAAGGTGTATGTGTTTGGCCACTGATAACAGGTTATTTTGAGAACTTGGATAACTTGTGTAGTTGAGTAAGTTATGACTTATTTAACTGTGGTGGGAATTGATTTGTCATGGTAATAAGAGATTTTGTTGTGCCAATTAGTTAACAGCTTCTATTCCCTGAGTGAAAGAGGAGGGTGCTCTTTGATCTAGAGTGCCCTTTCTTTCTTGTGGTTTTTTTTTTCCTAGAAGTAGCCCAAAATAGAACAGAACTAGTGAGAGCTATGTTGAGTTCATGGTTGATACTGGTACTCAGACAAGAATGTTGTGGGAAGATAAGGTGCTAAATAAAGTTAAGCAAAAACAACCCTGTTAATTGCAGTTCCATTCAAATGTCAGGCTGCACATTTGGTAGGAGAACTGGACAAGATCCTTCACTAATGTAAACAACCAAGGCTTTAGGCTCTCATAAAGTATTAATTTACACCTGTGAAGGATCTAGGTCCTTAGGAGTACAAAACCAGAAGTGTTAAAAAAGGAATTTGCAAAACCTGTTTCTAAACCAAAAAACGTTCTAACCATGCTCTCCCCTCCTCTGTGACAGCAAGAACAACAAACTATCTTAAAAACAGCATTTCAAAGGAAACCTTTTCTGGTCAAAACAGAGCCAGGTTTCTGTATTTTAAGTAATTGTTCATTCTCTCAATAAGCCCGCAAAAAAAAAGAATGTCATTGCTACCCTTGAAGGTTCACTGTTTGAGGACTAGCCTGATAAAGTCTTGATATTAAAGTTAACTAATGTGTTTCTTTATATAAGTGTTCCACTTTATTTTAAAGACCAACATATTGTCTAGGTTATACAGGGCCTTATCCTGTACCTACCTGCAAAACATAATTTACAGAGTTCAGCAAAGCAAGGGGCTGTATATTCTATGTACATTCCATTCTTCTTAAAACAAAACTGTTTTCAAAATCTTTTTAAAATATCATGGCATTATCTTGTTATTTATCCATTAACAAAACAAGTTAATAGAAACCCCAAGATACCTGAGCCTACGAAAATTACTTCTGTGATTTCCTTCCAAAACAAAAGCTAGAGAGGTTTATCTAAGCAGGGAAGAAAATTAAGAACTAAATTTGATCCTCAATGTTCAGTGAAAAACTGTTCCAAGCAACAAACATTTGTTTCAATAATTTTCTGACTGCAAAGCAGTGAAGCTCTCAAATACATTCTATAGCCCTATAAATTGAACCAGTTTTTAGGCTAAATCTTTCAAAGAGTCATTACAAATAAAAGAATTTTAAATAGTAAACGAGTATTTAGGTAATTTCTAAATATATTTTCTCTGGAGTCAATAAATCAATTTAAATCCACTTTTGGGTGGGTTTTTTTTAATATGTTACTGATGGATGATGACATTTATTTTCTATAATAAAATTCATTTTGTCAGATGATTCCCAGCTAGTTTGTTACTGAATTCTAAAAGATCTGTTTGGCATAGGTGAGGGCAAGTGTCAAACAGAGGACCAGTTAGTGATGAGAACCCAGGGTTTATTAATCATGTTCACTTTACAAAAAAACAGAATTATTTAAATGGAAGAAGAGGAAAAAATCCAGAGAGCACTATGTATTCATGAAAGAGCTAAAAAGAAGAAGAGAGTTAAAATATGTTTATGGATCCAGGTAGCTAGGCTTTGATAGTTGAAAAGAGTAGGAAAATATGTTGGGTAAGGAGCATACAGGTTTTAAATATTAAGGTGGAACTACTATAACTGATTTGTTTCTTAAAATGGTAGTAAGCTAGTCATTTTTAGTCTTTATAGAACTGCAGCAGATTATTAATAACCATGTTTTTATTTCACAGTTTGCAAGTACTGTTTTAAATCTTTTTCTCTTAAAGAGGATTTTGATTCTAGAAATGAGATGTGATAAGTCCCTAAAGCATGATGATAATAAAGCAATGAAACTGATGGTAAAGCTTCCAATTATTTTAATTTAAGCAGAGCAGTTCCAGTAAAGCATTTCTGAAAATCCTACCACTGGGCTATAGTAGATCTGAAGTGTTTGTGCCAGCTTGGGGCTGTGTTTCTGCTATCCTGTACCAAGTTATGACTGATACTATGCATGCATTGTCAGATATGCCTGTTCCACGTGTACATTACATACATTGCATCTTTTCACTTTGTGCCCTCCAAAGTATTATGTAAGGTCATATTGCTGAATGTTTACTAGCCAGAATTGTTGCAGACAGTTATAAGGAGACACCTTGATCTTTTATGTGATTACTTCCCTGTGGAAGCTAAGACTCATGCAAACCTTAAGTATCAGAGTGTTCTCTGTTTTCTGAAAGCCTTTAACACTTAAATTGCGATTACAGGTTGTGCCAGTTCTCCACTGGCATGGAAATAATCTTGTTTTGCTGTTAGATTACTTTGGGGAATTACTTCTGTTTGTTTGGTTTTTTAAATCATAGAGTTATCATGCCACTTTCAATTTCTCCCCAGCTATAGTAGGGGACATGGTGACCTTTTTCAAGGAGAGAAAAAAGTTGTTTTGTCTTAATTTTTTGATTGTTTTTCTTTAATTAGAGCAAATATGTTGTTGCATTTCATTTCCTGGAGAGCCCACCCTTTAATCAGTCAGTAGATCATTTTAGAAACATAGTCAGTGATGAAGGTAAATGCAACGCAGTACTGAACTGAGAATAAAGTCCTAGACTGTTAATATGCTTTCATATAGCAATAACTGAATGACAATAACTGTTGTAATATTCTCTATTAATTAGAACTTCCTGTGCATAGATGTGTGTCATTACTTTAGAGATGCTCCTATTGAAAGCTGAAAAAAGAACTAAGTACCTAGGCCTCAAACACAAAGAAAAGCTTGAAAACAAAACAATAACACATTGAACACATGAACTTCAGTCTTAAAATTCAAAGCAGAGGCAAGAGAAGTGGAAAGAGGTAAAAGTTTTCTTCATTTTTTAAATTCTGGGACAACTATGGCTAAGCCATTTCTGTGGGGAAATGTGGAGTCAAATGTAAGTTCTGATTCATTTGTCAAGTTGAAATTAATAACTTTCTGAGTACCTGTACACATTTTTCATTGAACACTTTGGTAATCTTATTTATCATTATTTTTGATTGATCACAATCTGTTAATATACATCTGGTATGCTTTTATGCCAGCTTAACTTTAGGTTTTAAATTCAAGCACAGTCTTTGTTACAGGCTGTTGAATGCATTCATGCTTCTTATGTATAAATCCAGCAGATTTTCCATTATGACAGGCATTGCTACAACTTCAGTAGCATACCAGTAGAAACTCCAGATACAGAAAGTGTAAATCATTTGAAACTGCAGTATGCTTCAAAAGCCCAACCATTAAGATAAAAATCCAATAACGTGCAGTAATAACTTCATCCATCTCCATATGTTTTGTGGTCATGTAGCTGTGCAGCTAGGGAGAATCCTCACGTTAGTTCAGCTCACTTTTTTCTTAGGTGAGTCTATTCCAGCTTCCTTGATCAGGAAGATCCTCAGGTACTGTAATTGCTTTACCTGCAATTTAGGCATCTATTAACCATTGCTGTCTAGCCTTTCTCTGAGTCAACAAAAGCAATAGCTCCATGAAGAAGTACAAGGGTAAGAATGTCTAGGAAAAGTGACACCTTTACCATTCATCTGAAAATCACTATGGTATATTGCTGGTAAATGGGACTGGTGCTGCAGAGGAAGACACAAAAGTTCATACTTAAGAATAGAGATTACAGCAGCTGAGTTCTATCAACTTTATTCTTACTGCCAGTGAGTCTTTCAAGGGCACTGTCCTTAAATCCTGCTCCTAAACAAGTAAAGATTCAGGACTGGAATTCTTCAGTCTCTTACACGTGGAAGCTTTTCATCAACCAGCAACAATAGCAAATGGAACAGACTAACATTGTTGAAAAAATTTAGATCTGACTTACTAACTGCAAACTTGTTAGGTTGCTCCTGCTTTGTTAATTTGTTTCAAGAGGAAGAACCTGTGTTTCTTT